AAGAGATGTTGTCAAGTACCTATGTCATTTTCCAAATAATTATGTAAAATTCTGTTTAATGTGAATTTCTGCAAAAGATTTGTGATTTTTTGCCAATTTATTACAGTTAATTTCCATATTGTCACAAACACATAATTGTCATTAGCACACTGACTCCGTCTTAATGCCGTCGTGACCAGTGTTGATCAAGTTACTTGAAAAAAGTAATCAGTAACTAATTACTGATTACTTCCCCAAAAACGTAATCCCCTTACTTTACTGATTACTTATTTTCAAAAGTAATTAATTACTTAGTTACTTTTTAAAAACACGATTTACAACCTGAAGAGGTGATAAAGCGATAGATCTTTCAGCCCAATTCTACTTTTTCTACATAATCCATCATACAAAATGTAATCAAATGAAAAAGTCTCTTTTTAAAACTAAACTTGTTTTATTAGTTTTAATCTTTTAACTTTATGCATCAAGCAAAAATTTAATTATATGCACCATTCTCTGACTGGAAGAAATTAGTTTAACATTTAAAGCTATTTTCTGCACATTCCAGCACATAAAATAAAATAGTTTTTTGTGTTTACACTCACTCTTTCAAATAAATGCAAGTGAAACACAGCAGAAAATAAATAAAGTCAAAGACTCAGCGATCCTGTTGCTCTATTTTCACCTGTAAAGCAGGAGTGAGGTAGGCGGAGGTTTACCCTGGTGCAGGTGTGCCGCAGCGATCAGTGGAAGAATCCACGACTTTCTCTGTGAATTTCCCATTAAGTCATGGCGCACTCGGTGCTTACTTGGAAGTTTAGGGGGTTTTCGCTGTAAAAAGAATTTTTTTTCCCACGCAGTGAGCAGCGGACGCTAATGTTTTTGTCACTTTTTACGAAATCAAACTCAAAGTAAGGTCAGTACTTCCACGCTTTAAACGCTGCACGCTCATACTCTCTCCCGCACTCGATATATTATCCATTGTTGATCTGCACACAGCTGTTGCCAAGAACGTCGCACTCGTCATGAGACACTCTCGCAAGAAAATCACGGTTTTAGTAATGCAGTAACGCAGCGTGCTTACGGGAAAGCAACAGTAATCTAATTACCGTTTTTGCAATAGTAATCCCTTACTTTACTTGTTACTCGAAAAAAGTAATCGGATTACAGACCATCTCTGGTCGTGACACACCAAAGTCACTTTAAAAACAGCAACTGATTGCAAGTTGTTGCAGACCCGTCACTATTCTAGAAGCAACCATTTCACAGGCAACGAGATCACAAGTTTGTTGCAAACGCTCACAATAATATCCACTGTTTTCTGTTGTGTGACTGTAGCATAACCAAGTCGTTTTTATTTTCTAGCAACATAGTTTTTATTCAATACAGCCAAATAATCTTAATGATAACATATTTTAAATTAATAATGCATATATAACGTATTTAAAATTATACAACTTAAGTGTTTTCACTGGTGCATGGAGTGAAATGATTACATCCACCACCAAACCCCTCCAACCTCCAAACTTTGCATTCTTTCATCCCTTAAAAAGTGTAAAATACTTATTTCTTGTACACGGACGTGTATCAATACAAATGAGACTGTACAGATGAAGAACTGGGTTGAGGGTCTTAAAAATAAGAGTTGGAAATTCTAATATGATTTAATATTTAGATAAGATATTAGGATCTAATATCTTATCTAAAGTGAAGAACAAAGTGTTAACTGATCCAATGATAACCTTACCATTCAGAAGACTCAGAAGATTCAACCACACAAATGCATTTTCACAAGAGCAGTAATCATCAAATCGGACTCATGATATTTCCAGTTTGTAAAGGACAGAAGAGTGGTGAGAGATTTAAAGGCCTCCTTCTGCTAACTTTAAAGAAATAGCGGTATTATGATTTGCTGACGTCTAGATGAATGGGGGTTTTTTTCAGTGGGACAAAATATTTCAAGGTTGAAGCTTTAAGGCTATCTAATAGTCTGCTGACACCGTGGCATTGTTGGTATCGTCTTGTTCCAGCTCTTCTACTGGCTGCAGTTTGTTTCTGTTTGTTTCCACTGAGGGAAAACTGTGCTTTCATGTTTCATAATGCCCCATAATTTAATCAAACGTGGAGTGGACCCCAACCTTTTCCATCTCCTCTACACCCACAGCCCTGGACTCCAAAATACGTCTCTCTTCAACATTTTTCATTTTCAGCAAACTCATTTAAACCTGTATCTGCACGACTTTCAACTTACCATTCCTGTACTATCCATCCATCCATCCATTCGCTTCCGCTTATCCTTTTCAGGGTCGCGGGGGGTCCATTCCAGTACTACTAGCAACTATTACTATACTGCTGCTACTTGTAAGCTTATTATTTCAACCATTTATGTACAGTTTGTAGTTTTAACAGCTCTTCATATCATCAGCTTAGCTAGAAGTTTCAGTTTTTACTGTTTAATTCTAATTAATTTATAACTTTATGTTAAAAATGTTAGCCAGTTACTTCATTTCAACTATTAATCCAGTAAATTTAGATTACAGTTTTGTTTGGACTTTTAGCAAACAGTTTCAGTTGTTCATTTATATTTTATATAAGGTGCTGCGCAAAAGACTCGAGTCATACAGCCAGACTTTTCTGTCAGTTTTTTTTAACCCTATCTTGAGCACCAGTTCTCCAGGTGTGATAGAGGTTTTCAAAGTTTTCATTTGGCTGCTTTTTCACTAATTTTCCATCCAGTCCTTCACCTGACCGTTTTGAAAAAAGAAAAAAGTTATTATTTGGTGAACCACTTAACATGACCTACGAATCATTCCAGGACAAAAAAAGGTACCTAACTAAAGGGATGAAACAGTGTTGTGTCTACACACAACAGACAACTTAGCAAAGAAGTATAATCTTCGTTGGGTACTTTATTATGGGGCAGGGATAGCTCAGTAGGTAGAGTGGTGGCCTCATGATCGGAAGGTCGGGGGTTCGATTCCCCTGAACAGCTACCCTGAGGTACCCCTGAGCAAGGTACCGTCCCTACACACTGCTCCCCGGGCGCCCAATGGCTGCCCACTGCTTCACTGAGTGAATGGGTTAAATGCAGAGAGCGATTTTCCCCACGGGGACCAATAAAGTACACACACTTCTATTACCAGAAACCTGTTGAAAAAACACATAATGTTCTCATTTCTTTAGTTTAAGCAATAAAAATGTGAATAATAACACAGTTCAAGAGACATAACATAGTATTTTGAGCCCAACAAGTTGATTCCTGAAGAATTTCTATATGCATACTCAGCATGCTGTGTGACCTTAAAAGCTTTGAGGACAAGTCTGAAACACTATCTAAAACAGATGAGATAGCAATAGAACAAAGACCGGACACAGAACTTAAGGGACGGATCTCAGGACAGCTGGCTGTCAAGAAGCCATTTATAAGGGTGGGAAAAGACTGAGGGACATCAAATTACACAAGAACTGAAGTGAAAAGTGGCAACAGGTATGAGGAAGTGATGTACCCAAATGTGAAATTTCTGGTTCAGGTAAATGTTTGGAAGAGGTCAGGAGACAGGTACAACAGTGGGTGTCTACAGCCATCTGTAAAACACGGTGGGGGCTCTATCGTGGTTTGAGGGATGTTAGAGATTGTGATAAGCTCGATGGCGGGATGAACACAGGAACGTGCTCTCTTCAGGATGGAAATGATGCCAGCCAGATTCTCAATGCAGTAAAAGCATAACTGGATAGATAATCACACAAGGGAACACTATCAGTCATGGATCGGCCTCACCAAGAGCCCGGATCTCAAAATTACTGAAGCAGTGTGAGATTATCTTGATGGAGAATGGAGCAAAAGGCAGCCAAGAGCTCTGACTGTCTTCGTGAAGCCGTGGAGAACAAGACTGCTTAAAGAAATTAGAAGAAAACTTTCCTAAGAGAGTTCAGGCTGTGCTGAAGAACAAATGTGGTCACACCAAATATTGATTTTTCAAGCTTGTTAGACTCATACAAACTCTTTTTTGATTTATATACTGTATTTATATGTAAGTTTGCACAAGCTTCAATAAATTTGTGCACCAATTTCATATTTTCCCAGCTAAATGTGAACAAATGGGGGGGTGGCTTTAGACTTTTGCACAGTAATGTAGTATTTTGAACTGCATGAACTGGGAGTCTCTGTTTTCAGGTCCCTGTGCAAAACCCTCAAACAGCTTTGCTAATTTTTTTTCTCTTTGGAAACTTTATCTCCACATGATTTTTAAATAATTGATATAAACCTAACTTACCTGGCTGCACAGCAAATATTGACCAGGCTGAATTGATTGTAAGCCTCCTTTATATTCTCATTACAAAGCAAGCAGCACTGTTTGGCTGCAAGGACACACGTTTACTCACAACTTCCCTCTCTCTGTGTGTCTTTAAAAAACACAGGTGGTGGTCCTCCACCAGGCAATAAACCCAAAGCAGCAGACTGCCCACAGCCTAAACATTCCTGTGTAATAACTCCCGAGTAAACAGGCTTTCCCTGCACCTATTCCAGTCCACTTCTGTTTGTATCTTCTTAGGAAAAAACTTCACTGTGACCTCATTCTGGGAGAAAAAGCAAAATGCCTATTGTGGACATCTAGGTATTTCCACAACAGTCTGATGCACTTAAATCATTTCGAATATAGATTTTTTTCCCCTCCCTCAAACAATTGGGAAATAAATCTGCATGCAGGCAACTTAACCAAATTGTTTCCCATGCAGATCATCCAGTATGATGGAAATTTCGCTTTCCATCCACTGACATTATCTTTATAATATCCAGCTGGAGATCTGCTTTACTTCAAGATAAAAATGCACAGAAAAAAAG